CCGACTTTATGGGAAGACGCTAAAACCAGATGACTTGCAGGTTGGATTCTCTCGACTTGTAGGGGCAGTTGATGACCTTGCTCTGGACGTGCCCCAGGCACACGATTTCCTGACGAAAAGCTTGGTAAGAGATTCACCTTTTGCGCTTTTGAGATCTGTGACCTTGCATTTCTACCAGCGCTCTGTTATTTAGGCGAGCGGATGGGATGAACTTATGCTCAGCGTCGTAGCAAATCCACCACAGCCACAGCAGTTTCATCTTACAGCTATGCATTATTACACGGCTATCTGATTCGTTCGTAGCCATTGTGGATGACTGAGTATATTCTTTCTTGCTAATGTGGAGAAGGTTGGCGGATTTACTGCAGGCTCGGGCTGTAGTGGACGAGCTTTTGCCTCCGGCCTTTTTGGGAGATCGGTATAGGCTACACTTTGGAGGGATTGGAGGGATGCAAGTCCTCAAAAAGGCACAGAAGTGGCTCTGTGAGCAACCAGGAAAGGCTGCAAGCGAACGTTTTAGAAAGGTATGCGTTGGGACTTCCGCAGGTGGTGGGCGTTGCCTTGCTGTACTTAATTCTTGAGTAAGCTGGAGCACTTTTTGAGGGTAATTCAGCCGCAGACGCATGATTGTCCCCCTGAGTGGATTCGGCGCTTTCCTCAGCATTATCGCTACTGTCCAGATTGCGCCGTGGTGTGAGTACAAACGCAGATATGGACAGGAACGGACCCAACGATGCGGGAAGCACGTATTTTTAAGCATGAACTTAAAGCATGCATACGCAAGTACCTTGATACCCTCGACGCAGCCGAGGCGGCGAAAGCAATTATAGACATGAATCTGGCTCCTGACCAGGTGATCAATGGAATGAAGGCAACAGTTCGTGTACACTTCGTATGCCCATTAAGATGCGAAGTATTGTATTGGAGCTTCGGATTTGCAGCCCACTTATATGGTGGTTTCACTACGCTTGCCTTGTTGGTGCCAAAGGATTCCGAGGTAGTGCGCAAAGCCTACATCTTCTCTATGGAGCGATCGAAGGATCCAGAGCAGGCAGCAAAAGCTGTCGTAGGACTCCTTGAGCAACTGCGTGCTCTAGGAGAACTTGATCAGGAATGCATTATCCAGGGCCTGGCGCAGATTAAAGATCTTCTCCCTGATGTACGTCATTGCACCAGTGGTTACAAACGCTGCTGCAACTCCATAACCCCATAATACACATTAAATTGGTGCATTGGACGTACAAGGGTACTGGTCTTTTTTGTTTTGCTTGCCCGTAGATTGAGTTGGACGTACCCAACGCACAGCAAAAGATATGCTACATGGTTGCGGCCTCGCGAAACAAGGGGCTTCTGCCTGCTGATTATGTATTTGCTGAAGAAGCAGTTGAAGACGGACAGTAAGTCAGCACGCCAGTGCTTCCATTGCATTCGCGTCACACTGGCGCTTACTGAGCAGGGAGACGACTACGACTGGCAGGTGGCGATCTCTCCCCTTCAGTTGTAGCCTAATGGAGAGCGAAGGTTAGTCTCCTTCGTCAGCTGACCGTTTGATAACGTAGTTCCTGCTGCAGGGCAACGCAGGCGCAAAGCTGGCTTGACCTGGCCCTGGCAGTCATGTGGCATATTGCATTGTGTGCTGGCGCATGTGCCAGTGCTACACCGTGGCATTCCTTCCCCTCAGCACCATTGCATCTGCATGTGTTAAGAGTAGGGGTCAGGAAGACGATGGCAGTGAGTATCAATAAAGTCGACTCTGGCCCTACGCACGTAACAAGCGGCTGTAGGGGACCCAACAGCGCATTATTTCCTAACTTCTTTCTAACGCCGCTCCCCGCAGTAGCGAGCGACGGTAAAGGTCGACATCTGCACATTTCTTTAGAAGTGTGCTTGCCGCTGTGAATGCTAGCATGTTCGATGTCCGGGAGCTGCCTGAACCAGTGTCCGTAGAAGATACAACTAGGTAGGGTACAACTCAGTAGCACTTAGACGGATCACTGGTGCGCTGGCGTCCTAGTGGAGTGATGCACAGGCACAAGGCCACCGTACGTAGAAGCTTTTCGTCCATTTGGCAGTGAGGAAGCCAATGGAATGAAAAGGGAGCGTGTTCCAGCGCGTCTTCTAACGCTGCCATGTTGCAGCCAGGAGCAACGCGACCTTGCGGTCCAGGCGATCACGAAGATGCGTTGTAGGTGAGCAGTATTCCGGTGGAAAGCTACAACTGTGGCGGCTAAAGTGTAAAAAGCTTCGCACATGCTCATGCAGAGTGACGCTACTGAGCAGGCTGCCGGTGACACTCAGCACACTGACAGTGCGGGGCGTGCGAATACGTTATGATGAACTCTGGTAATGCCTGGGCCCTTTCGAACACCACGAACTCGACACCGTCCACAACGCCCCCACGTGTACGGCACTCCGCCATCACTGCAAAATATCGAAGAAGCAGCAAGCCACTCGTTCGGGGACGCCGTTGCAACACTCTTTCCGTTTCTAAACACCGCATATGAACTTTAGAAGTGGCACAGAATCATTTTCACTGGTCTCGGCGCCTGGCTTATCTGCAAGGAGAAGCCTGCACTAAGTGATTCATCATGCGGATACACATGCTGGGCATGCATGCGCCTTACCTGAATCATAGGCTAGCTTTGCCGATGTAGTAGTCGGCTTGTTGGGAGGCATGCGTGCATCTGGCATAGGAGAAACAGCCTTGTACACTTCGCCTAGACAAACGCGCGCGAGAAGAAGACACCGCATAATCGGTGGACTGACTGCCGGATTTAGGCATAAAGAAGCTCCTTGCACTCCGCTTTGCTGGGTTTTTGCGCTTGTCGGGTCCGTCTGCTGCGAGCTTGTTGGACACGAACTAGAATTCGTTTGCTTGCTCAGTGTTTGGCCCGGAAGCGAAACGTCCTTTGATCGAGTTAAATTCGCGCCGCTCCCCTGTCTTGCAAATTTTGCACATACTGCTCTGAAACGCCCTTTTTCCTTATCTTTCTTCTGGGGTCCGTCTGGTGTGCAGGAGACTCCAGAAGCAACAAAACTGGTTGGTGTAGACCTGGCATTTCCCTTCCCATTAGTCGCCCCACTGCTCCTGCGAAATCTAATGCCGCCACAACTTTTGTTCGTGTTCTGGAACGCGAGCCCATGTGAGTTCCCTCCGCCTCCGCCCCCCATGCGGGCGGCAGTGCTACAGAGTGAAGCGCACCCACTGGGCGCTCCTACTGGTGGCGGCTGTGCCAACCGAGTTGGCAGGGATACGTGAAACGTAACAGCCGAAAGTGGTGCAGGTCCAACTGCTTTGACCGAGATGTCGTTAGGGCGCGTATACAGGTCAGCTTTGCTCGCATGTGGAGAAAAATATGTGCCAATGCCAAACAACCTCCCTGAAAAAGTGAAGAAGGCAGTGCAACGCCTTGCTTCAAAAGTTGCAGGCTAAATACATCTTCATTATGCAGCCATATTTATTAAGGTAGCTTTTAGGTTACCTCCGTTCTCGCCTCCTCTGCGAAAATCAAACCCCGTTAATGCTATCAATCCTGCACGTTCTTCAGTGCATCCATGAAAAAGGAAATATTCGTTCAAATAAGCCTGGGACACATATTTCTGAGAAAATTCATATATTCTTTCTCGTTCTAGATACAACAGCTGTTCATTTTATCCAAAAGCTCCTAAGGTAGTGCGGTTTATTAGCGCCTGATTGACTCCTCTGAAGACTATATGTATTGTTTGCCCCTGACTGAACTGCCGTATATTGGTAGCATAGCATTCACAAGCACACAAGCTTAGGAATTTGATGAACTCTGGGTGCTTACCTGAGTCGGATGTACTTGAGGCTTAAGTATAGGGTTGGGGAGAGCCTCATCAAGACTGCAACCGCTGTTTGTGTTCATCAACAAAAGCATGCTTCTTTCGTGTAGGTAACGCCGGACCAAAATGCCATTGCAAATCCGCTCCACTTTGTGGATCTGCAGCACCAGCACCACTAACACCCCAAAAGAGGGGTGACTCGCGTAAACATTTACTGAATGTCCTTTCTTGTGAGTGCCTGAGCCTCCTCCCGGTCAAACCCACCACGAAAATGGGAGGCTGGTGGAAGGAGAAGCTATTAAAACGGCTGAGATTGCCTAGTGCAAGTTTCCCATCTTTTACAGCCAGATACGGTCTGTACGATTGCAGTAAGCTATGCTGCTTAGCCCTTCCGGCAAGCCCCGATGTATTGTTTATAGGGGGGAGAAAACTGCCGACTGGGGGGCGATAAACAGTGTGCGGTAGAACGGATTCCCTGTGCTCCGCAAGCGAAGAATATACCTGTGAAATGGGACACAAACCGTTTACCCGCGCCCGCGCACAAACTACAAATCCGTACGATCGTGATCTGGTGGAGCGATTTCCCGCCGGTATTGGCTCGAGCAACAGAATTCTGCAACTGTATCAAGCAGTATCCAGACACCCACACCGGTGCAGTTAAAAGATTGTCCCCTCCCCAGAGCTTACCGCCGCCACGCAAAACTGGTAAAGTGCATCTGACGGAGAAAGGACCTTCCTTGCAGTTCCGTAATTCCTAAGTGCTCCTGTCCCAAGTTCTGGTGGCGACATGAAATGTAATAAGTGTAAATGCGGATGAATAGAATAATTGGGCACGTTTGCTACGCTTGTCCTCAAGCTGTGTTTAGTAAACGAGCTGCTGAAATCCCAACGAGTTGCTCCAACAGAGCTTCGTCGGTGTATACTCAGGCTTCTCTTACAACAAAATGGAGTCGAATCACTTTTGGTCCCTTTCGACGGCATGCTGGAGCTCCTGAAAAGTTTACTATCATTCTCTACATTGTTTGGCTGGTCTCGGGCAAGCTCAAACATAACTGCATCCACATTTAAACAATGAGGGCAGCTCAACGGCTGCAGTGGCAAGTCTCCCGGTAAAGCTGAAGCAGCCTGCAAGAAAACATAACCAGCCACCTTTTGACTATGTCATGCTGAGAAATATGGAACAGTCCCCACATCCATCAAACTGGGCCGGCAACTGCCCGTCCCAAGCAGCAGCCACACTTCCGCGCGGTGCAGTGGGACGATACCTTAATTAGGGAAAAAAGTGTGTCCCAAGGGCATGTTGATTTCTTGAAATCTCTAGCATTATTACGGCAAGTATCAATGCAGTTATGCATGGTTTCTATGTCTTCAAAAATGCATCTCCCTCTGTGGCAGCGTCCGACACTGCAATCATTACCCCGCGTTCCCGCGTGCACATTGACCAAGCCAACTCCAGAACCGATTGATGCGAAGGTGTTACTTCTGTCATCTTCCCCTAAACGAGTTCCAGGATTTGGCAACGCTGAGCCCAAGGAGCTTGGAGACTCCATCACTGGAGACTCTGCTAGCAGCAAGTCCTTGACTTTCAACTGACTAGGTGGAGAAGATAACGCCGGAATTGCGTCGCTCTGATGTGAATTATCCCCGCTGGGCCGCGTTTCACGGCCACTCTTCAGGTTATTTCCCGGCGAGCCCCCGGTTACTTTGTTCACACATAAGGCAGTACCTCTTGGAGAGACGAAACAACAATCCCCATGTCGTTGACTACTGCTACAAACCGACGCTGGTCGATTGGACCTAAATGTCACTCGGTTCCCTTGGTCTCGTTGAACGCTCAAGCCTCTGCAGTAACAACAGGAGCACGGCCTTATCGCCGACTCCACGAGGTCCGTGTCGACTACTTCCATCAAAGCAGAGGCGGCGATAGCGGACTGGGCTACAGTTGCTGCAACCCAGGAGGCCGCTGCTGTGCGGACACGACTGTCACTGCTGCACAGCGCGGGCAGGAGAACGACGACAGCCATAATATGTCGCAAAAATGTCTCTACACGCCGATCTACTGTACGAGTGGCGAAGAGAAATCCTGTCTCCCCAGAGCTTTTTCTCCGCTCATTTATCCATCCATCAATGAGCCTTCAGCAAAGACGGAAATATAAAAAACGCAGAGTAAAAGTCCAACCAAAAAACGTCCTCTAAGCGACTTCGTCTTAATTAGCCACCGTGCATGAGGGCACGTTGGAGCACCGAAAACGGAATTTCGCACAGTGCAGTACAGTCCCGCTAGAGGACAAACCAAGTTGCCTACCTCAGGCGTACGAGACCCTCTGCGTTGATTTTTCTTTCATAGACTTCAACCAAAGTGGCTGGTGGCAGCGTGCGACGAACCTGACCTTCTATTTCAAGTGCTGGCCTCACGTTAACCAGGTAGCCATCGGCTGCATGAAATTACAAATACCCCCATCCGTGAGCAACAGAGTAAGGCAAGGCGACCATTGCATGGTCAAGACTACCCTGAAAGTTACTAGCAAAAGCCTTTCCCATAATGCCAACAAGAGCTCACCTACAATTTCGTAGAGGACAGGCCGGTCATATATAGTCTCACACTCATCTACTCGCTCTATGAGCCGGTCAAGAGTCACCCAACCCTTGTCCGTGCATACACGCAGGTGCACTCGCCTGTTGCGGGTGAAGTAGCACAGATTTCGCTTTGACTTTTTGCCGCACAAGCGGGTAGTAGGTACTGCATGCAAGAGATCACTTTCACCCGCTCCTAACGTGCCCAAGCCCGCGATGATGCAGTCGTTACCCGTCCCCGGTCGGCCACATGACGGAACACAGCACACCAGGCACGCGTCCAGAACAGGAAAAACTTGCCTACGCAAGAGGCGTCCGACTATGCGGGATCCCAAGTGAGGAGTTGCGCTGCAGCACCATTCAGGGTGATACTTTCCAAAACACGTAGAATATGCTCAGGCCACATCTCGACTGAAAACTGACACAAATGTGCTTCTGTCAACAAAAACGCGACTGTCCTGCACTTAACCATGATGAGAGTAACAGGTGCACAGCAAATACGCATGTCAGCTCACCTTATTGGTACAGCACGGGAACCTACAACACGGAAGAGCATGAAAGAATGCTCCAGTGGACTGAGACCACCACTGCGTATGCTGTTCCTTGTAACTATTCGGCTTGAATCAAAACGCGTGCCTTCTGTTCTCGTGGTGCAAAAATTGCTTCTTTCAAAGCTGCTGCCTGCGTTCGGGAAGTGGCGTGTGGTTGCCTTTTGTAAAGCTGCTTCAAATTTTTGCATGGTGGCCGCCGAAGTCAATTTGTTCAGACTACTATAGCTTGTGCGTTCTTCTGCTAGCATTAAACACTCCTGGAAGCTGAGAAACCGAGTGGCACGGCAGGCATACACAGTACCCCAGCCAGTCGACGGACTCTCCTCGAGTTCAGATGATCCATCCGTTACTGCTCCCCCATCTATCGTTGGATGAATATCTTCTGTAAAAGAACCACACTTAGCACGACAATGAAAAGAGTTGAGGTCCCCCGCTTGTTGCTGAGTTGTAATGGAGACAGAAGGCTTTCCGGTAGTCGAGCCGCGTTGACTAGGCTTAGCAGCAACGGCCTCTTCATGTGTGGTCTTCCACCCTGTCACGCGAGGAGGCTGAGGTAGGCGGATCATCTGCAAGGATGCTCCTGTTACCCAGCCCTCAGCCGTCTTCAGACGCAGTAGGTAAGACATCTGTGCGATATGCGCTCTTACGTCGAGTACCTAAAGCAAAACACCAAAGGGTAGTAATATGTGGAAATAAATGCTCACACGTAAGTATCTGTGGCCTCTCAAAAAGCCATTGGTGCCTTTCAGAGGACTTGAAACTAACGAATTTCGTTTGCGACGACAGCCAACAGCAGCTGTTGTTCTTCCGGAGTCATGTAAGTTCGCTTCCAGGATCACAAAGCTTCTCGGCTGGAGGTAACGGTGAGCCAGCACACCTTAAAACACGTCCCAGGAAACACATATCCCAAAACGTCGGCGCTGGGCTCTAGGGTGGGCTCAACAGACAGCGGAGCTGGAGAGCAGCAAATGTACATCAAGCCAAGTGCCTGAGGAGCCCGTCAAAAAGCACAGGTTCATCGGACAGACGCTGGACATCATCAGCAGCTGCAGAATGTCAGCTCCTTACCAGACATTACACGCCCAATACAAGGTGCCTCCTGCGCAATTCAAAACTAAAGGAGTCTTCTGAGGCAACAATGAAATATCTGCACACCTCGTCAGGCGAGGGGTGGTGGATCAACGCGGCAACGACATCTTCCTCCATTACATCCAGACACTTTGCATATGCCATACATAACGGGCCTCCCTTTCGTGAGTAGGTCGAAACCTGCCAAGGGCGAGCTGCGAATTCCGCTTGTTCTTCACAGCGCTCCACACACCGTGGTCCCGTATCGCTACAACCTGCATTCACCGTATCAGTTCCACTGGCAAGGCGCTGATCTTCTACAAAGGGCTCCTCACGGGGAGACGCGGAATTTCCACGCTGAGGCTTGTCTAGCCAGGGCATCGGGACAGTGCTACCAATTTGTCCTTCAGTAAACGTTGGGGCGAGAGTGCGTCCCCTGTAACACAGCCAGGCTCTCTGGATGCTCTTGCGACGGCCTCTTCTCTTACGTAATGGCCTTTTGCGGCCTTTATCCTGCAGACGGTCCGAATCGCCGCTAGAATCAGCGGCGGGTAGCAAGCGTGGTCGCCTCCCCTGGGAGCTGCTTAGGCGGAGCTCCCTAAGTCCAAACCTGCTGATGCGTTCCTTCGACTGTGAAGCCCCCATAGTGTGCGTGTGCAATAAGGATGAATAGCCGATGCTAATATCAAAGCGAAACCAAATCCTCACTCGACTCTCGAGTTGAGGTGGTGTTCACGGGCATGCGAACCCGATAGGCTACACTCCTGCTGTGCAATGCGATCCCGCTGGAATGAAATGCCCTACGGCCTACGGACTCGGTTAAAGCAAAGCCGGGGCATCCCGCTTGGAGGCCAAAGCCGCATCCCGTCGCACCGGACCAGTCTGCATTGCCCTGGCTCACCTCCACAGTTCGGGTAGAACACGCTGGATTCCAACAAGTACAAGCTTTCTTTCATGACTTCCGTATTATCCATTTAATTACAAAAGTGGTATGTAGCTGCAGATACGATATCGTGCACCTCCATGGGAAGAACGTCGGCAGGCTGTCAAGGGGCAAGACAGACCACTCAGACCGTCACCGTTGGTGAAGCGCCGTTGATGAATCTTACAACTTACGCTTGACTTTTCATTTTAGTCGTAGAACAAGGCAATTAAATGAAGATCTCTTCAGAATTACCTCAACACAGGCTTTTGGAAGGACAGTGCTAATCCATTTACTGCTGCAACACTCAGCTGCTGACAGCCTCGCTGGTCTGGCTCGCGACACACTGCCCACGTGACCCTCTGTTGGGGAAATAGTCCATTATCCGTGCCGCCACTCATCTGCGCCCAGCTAACTACTTAAACTAAATAAGACGAGACGCAACTTCCAGCCAGCCTCTGACGGCTCCGATCCACTGCCAGCGTCCGTGGTGCGACGCCCCGCGACAAACTGGCGGTTACCACGGCTGGGTTACTAGAAATAGAATTGGAGCGAAAGTTCGTTGAAGCGCTAATGAATAACACCAGATTGCCCGTTACTGCCTCTGTTTAGGACTCAATTCCTCCATAGCATTCATTGCATACTAATAAAAAAGCCAAATGGCTTTTATGGCCCTGTGTCAAGTTGAGTGACACCTAGTGCCAGAGAAGGAAGAATGGAACTGAAAAAGGCATGCGCAACTGTAGCAGCTGCCTCCACAACTAAAGGAGTAAAATTCTCCAGAACGGCAAACACACAGACGCGTCTGCTGAGTGCCACCGTAGGTTACTCCCAAATAAAGCCCCTCAGGAGTCAGCACGGAGAGCATCCAATCGTCGCTCTTTAAAAACTGTCATATGGCCTTGATACAACGGTAACAAATGCACCTGCTCCCCTTTGCAGGAGTAGTGATTGCAAAAAAACAGCAGTTCGGAGGACATGGAGCTCTTCAAACTGAGCAGTCATGTATTGGAACTTATGAAGTACAGGTCCCTGTACGCTAGGAACGCATCTAGTACACTGCAGAAGACGCAGAAAAAAAGTGATGGCAGTCACAAATGGGGTCATGTGCATGCAACTATTGAACGGCCTGCACAAGTGGCGACAGTGAACAAGAAACTTTCGTCAGTGGACTGCATTGCTAGTTTCCTGCAGAACACACTACAAACTACAAAATGGCAGACAGACAAAAAAAGCAAAGTTAACTATGTGAGCAACCTGTAGACTCACTTGAAGTGGTTAAGGAGCGGCACACGACTCACAACGAAGTCAATGGCCTCACAAGGTCGTGCGAGGAATTTGTCGAAGAAAGGAGGGCGCAACAAAGCATAGGGCAGTCCCGTTAGGCTGCAAAACGCAATAGATGCAAACAGCTGATGCCACACGAATAGGAAAAGTACGAAATGACTCCATTTTCAAGTATTTTAAAATGTCATTCTGCGAAAGAGATCGAGACAAGTCATTTTGTTCACTCGTTCATTTTTTTGCATTCATTCAAAAAAGACGCAAATGGAAATATATACAAATAATTGAAATTAGAAATATGTACATGCGTGTAAGTGGAAATATAAATATGTATATGAACAAAAAGCTCGCTCACCGACGATGAAGCTCTGCAGCCTCGATAGGCGAAAGGCGCTCCATCACTTCAGGGCAGCTATGCAACAAAGAAACTGAATTTGCTTCAACAACTGCAAAAAAACACGTATTCACCACGGGAGCTGAAATGCAACAAACACCAAGGGCCGACACATAGAAAGCGTCTACGGCTTAGGTCATAGGCGCTGCAGCGGCGTGTGCTGCTGTCTGTAAAGCCTCGCGAGCTCCAAAGAGCTCCAAAGACGAATTCTGTAAACATCTCACGCATGGCTGCCAACCATGAGGTCCACGACTTCGTGGTTTTAGCTCGCTTCAAAAGGTAAAGGTGAATGAATGGGCGAAGATGATACAGAACCTCCGCCAGAACCGGCCTGTGGGGATATGCAGGGTGGCAGCCAGCCTTGAAGATCCACAGGCTGCACAGCCAAACTAGTACTGCAATATCGACTGGCCACACAGCTGCACAAAATACTGTGAAATCAGCGGCGGGCGTAGCGGGCAAACAGAAACTGCAGGACTGCTAACCCCTGACACGCGTGAGCTAGTTCGGACTTAACATAGAAGGGCAAAGTACCGCCAGGGAGTTAAGCGTAGGTGATGCCACGTGGCGACCATGCGACTAGGAGACGAAATAGCTCTAAGCTCGTTGAAAAGCCACTCAATCACCAGGACAATCCACTGCCGAGGGAGCTGTTCTTTCGCGGCGGCAGCAAACGCTGCCTGCCCATCATTCGGGAACCTGAAAAGATGTAATAGACACAAAGAAGCGAGCCGCATCCACAGCCCACCGCAACATCAACAGCTAGCATAGCCGCAGTTGCCGGCTTAGAGTGCGGCCATAAGCAAGTTCTATCCCTGCACCTTTCCTCCAATGGAAACAGAGCCTGACGGCAAGGCTACTGCGCTCTACACGTGAGACAAGCTATGGCAATTCACGTCAAAAACAGAAATAACGGGAAACAAAAACTCTCCAAGAGCCACTCTAAACTGCAGCGTACTGGCGAGCTGTAGATGGGAGGGGAGGTATCTTCCTGCCAGTGCGTCTGCCGTAGGAAGGCCGCATCCTCTCCGATTCTAAAATCTTCTGAAACGTGCGCACCACGGAACTGGGAGTAGCAACAGAGCTTCACATCGCCTCCCAGCTTGAACATCACATGACAAAGACTCTTTGAAGACTACATTCTTGATGAGCCTTTAAGCTTCGGTACGTAAGAGACCACTGGGTGTCGTCGCGAAATTTCGTGCATGCAAGCACCCGTGGAACATACCTGCTTTTCCTTTTGCACAGCAAGGGCCTGATAAACGCTCTGCTCCTCGCAGTAGAAGGCGAATGGAGTAAGGGCGTGAAGTATTAATTTCAGCAGAAGTTTGACCAGCTCTAGACGTAAACAGAGCGCAAATCGCGGGCCTTCTCCTCCGCTCCTTAGAGCGTTAACCTCCAGGAGAAGCTGCAGTGCTCGGACGACTTTTAGTGCTAACGAAACGAAGCCATAAAGAGCCAGCCGCACGGATGTTGGGAGGCCTCTCCGACGGTCCACCGCCAAGTCCCCGTATCGCTCACTAAGCACGAACACAGGCGGCAACGAGGTCTCTTCAGTACTTGAAGCCTGAGTAGCATCGATTGAATATTTCTTTCGCAATTTCCATTGGTGATGCAACGTCTCTGCCTGCAGCAATTCTTCTGGAGGGGAGAGAAAGTGCGCGCGATAGAGACAGAACACCTCAAAGAGTCCCTGTACAAGCAGGAACTGTCGTTCGCTCCGATCGTCTGAAGCGTGAAAACATCGTAGTTCACAACTGCTAGTCCATGTATAAATTAGTTGAAACAGCTACAGCATCAAACGCATTTGTCGAACTCACACCCGCAACACCAAAAGCAGTAGATCTCGCACCTGTTGCATGAGCAGGTAGGACCTGCAGAGCCACTTTTGTAATGTCTTCAATTGCACCTCCATATACTTCAAGGATGCAGCGGTGCCAACTGCGCACAGCTTGAAGCAGCCTGTCTCTGCGGCCGTTACTCTGCCTTGCCTGAGGAGAGGCTTCACTCAGCTTCTCATGGAAAGCGTTGACCTCCGTGCTAGTGTCTCCAGGTTCGTAGTTGGCCGGATCTCCCTGCTGCTGCTCAGCAAACAAACGCCCAGCTAGAGTGTTTGCCAACGACATAACGTACACACTCAAGCGGTCCAATGCACTCTTTTGGTTTGCCTGGGCCAAAGATGGGCTGGACGCATCCCAGCCGGTCGTGTCGCTCAACATTCCGTAGGCCATCCCCTTGAGTGGCTCTGTGCTGCAAGTATACGTGCAGGCACCCTCCTCAGATTGACTAGCCGTGCCAATGCAAACTGGATGGAGAGATGCCTGCTGTCGCGGTGCCGACGGAAGAGTGCACTCAGGAAGCCCCGTCACAGAAGACAAAACATCGGCACAAGTCTTCTGTGAAGCAGAAGCCTCTTCGGCTGCGTCCCTTTTGAATTCTTCAACGCGAATCCATTCACCCTCACTTTCACTGGGTGGAGACGTCCGGGTTACGATGAGGGACACACCACCAGGCGTGCATTCACGCTGCTCTCCCGGTAGCACTTGCTGCGGATCTAGCACGAGCAGCTGCTGCTGCGCCGGTAACTTTACTACCTCCTGGTCTCCCTGTTTTTCGGCTCGCTGTTTTTGTGTACCCTGACTACCAGAACTTGCTGAATGCTGCTCGTCTAGGCCTACGGGCTGAAGGGGACTCCTCGAGGCAAAAATCTCTCCCTCATCTAGACTTTCGGGCGGCGCATGGGTCGCTTCAGCCGTACTCAAGGTGCCTGTATGTAAATGGCCAGCCTCTTGCTCCGGTGGCGCCCTCGTAGAAAGCCCTCCTGCGTCTGACGAGTCCCCAGGCAGGCTACGAGGGCTATGGAAGGCGCATGCATCTTCTTGGGAAGTTGGTACCGATGCTGGCTCATCCGCAGTCAACCTATTCGCACTGTGAACACGTTTTCGGGAAGGGCACACGGCGTCCCCTCCTTCCGTTACGTCTCCGCTAAGGCTGCTGACTGAACTCTCGCACTTCTCCGCACCACAGGCTCCCAGTGGAGAACCA